CGAGCACAGCCATGGCGGCGGCCTGCGGCGGCGGAAGCAGCACCCACGGCGGCCCCGCGCTTCCGGCACCCGGTCCCTGCCCGCCTGCCGTGTTTGCGCGCCCTGGCCGGCTGCCCACGGAGCCCGGCTGAATGCGGAGCCCGCGCTCTTCCCTCCCCTGCCCGCCTGCCCGCCGTCTCCTGGGGCGAGGCGGCGACAGCGCGAGGGGACGTGAAGATGTAGCCACGAGCCGGGCCAAGCCCCAGCCGTTTATAAACACAGCACCTGAGTGACGAGTATTTCCGGGACAAGGCCAAGTCTCTACAGCCTCTAAGGAGGAAACAGCCCCGCCTCAGACGGCAGTGTGCAGACTTCCGACCAGACCTGCTTGGGCGGAGCGCAGAGGCACCCTTCAGGAGGGTGTCAGCAGCAGTCCTGCGGCACGTCGCTTGCGGCAGCCCCAGCCTGCGCAGCCGCAGCTGCAGCCACAGCCGGGCAAAGGGCTGAGAAGGCCGCGCGGGAGTCCTCTGGAGCGGGTGCCTCAGGGGCCCGGCCGGGGGCGAACCCCGTGCAGGCTGAGGCCAGATTTCTCACGCTTCGGGAAGTCTGGGGCACAGATGCAAAACTTTAGAAACCTGGTGCTTGGCACACTGGGCAAGGTGGAGACATGCAGTCCAGGGCTGAGCAACTGTTTACAAACATAGCTGCTGCTCAGTGAATCAGTTAATGAAATAGTCTGGTCATCTGGCTACCATAAGACCTATGTGTATACACAAAAATAGAACACCATTCCTTTCACAGGCTCACAAATCAGAAGCCTTTTAATAGTATAAAGTAATCATGTACTAGAATGCTTTTGAAGGTCACAACAAACATGAATTCCAAGTCCATTTTATAAACTTTCAGAATCTTTTCAAAAATACCGTATCACTGGCTTTTTTGCTCTAGACCTATCACACTTGCACCTGTGTGGATAGACACAGAACTGGATTAGTTCTTGAGAATTTACTTTCTCCAAGTGGAAGTGACCCCAAGTTCACGATTTTCCAAAATGAGTGCAGATGAGCATAGGAAGCCTGCGTTCAGCTGGCCAGTGGAACCGGGTCCTCAGGACTGGTGCCGTGCTGGCTGCTGGGAGCCTCTGCGGGGTAGAAGGCCCCCGGAGCCTCCCCCTGGGCTGCTTCACTCGGGCTCCTGCTGCCTGTCCGGTGCTCCAGACTGGCAGCAGACCGCAGGCTGGTCTCTGAAGAAGAAAGAACACAGTTTGTTTCATGCTGACAATAATAAGATATTAATGTACTTTCTCGCTAGAAGTCTGAAGAACAAAAGAATTGGTGTGGGAGGGGAGACTTCTGAGATCCCAAAGGCAAAAGAACCTGCTAAGAAGTGAGGGGATTCTGAGCCCAGGACCAGTCAACTCCATCTGCCTGCTCTGTGCTGGGGCTCTGGTGTAAGCCAGGAGCTTTATCTGAAAACATGCCCCACCGCACAAGCCTTGGAGCAGCAACCTCAGCAGCTGGCGCTCCACCCCACCAACAGCTACACTCCTCCAACTATCCACCTCCTTGTCTGCCGGGGGCTCCCAGAGGCCCTGCCCTCCCTCCAAGCCCACAGCCACACTGAACCCCGTGGCATCCAGGGTCTCTGGTATAGAATCAAGTCCTGACATTCACAAGGACAGTAGGGAGGAAAAGCCTCACCTTGGAAGGCAGCATGGCTGCCTCCCCATTCCAACCAAAGCCACAGACAGGGAAGGGGTGGAGCCCCTCACCTGGCTTGTTGGTCCTGCACACCTCCTCCCAGGTGTAGTCAGCAAGGTGCACAGGCTGCGTCACCCATGGGTCTGTAACCAGCTTCTCCAAGGTGGTGCGCTTCTCAGGGGCAGGCTGCAACAGCCCAGAAATGAGGCTCATGAGTTCTGGAGACATAAAGAACAGGTTGGGGGGCTTTGCTGGGACCGAGATCAGCATGCTTCAGACCCACAGTATACTAAGTGTCCCACCCCTCAGAGCCTCTCACAGAGCAAGGGACAGTCAGGAGCCCGAGCTCTAGGGGCTCGTCCGATGGCCCTCCGGGAAGGTCTGCAGACAGCTTGTCCCCTCTGCAATGAAAACCTGGAGTTGGAAATCTATCATACTAAGACCCAGGTGGCCAGAGCTTCCCATTTAGTTCAGTCCCAAAAGCTCCAAACACGCAGTGTGGGCATGACAGGTAGGAGAAGCAGCAGCTGGCTAGTGCTAGCCCAGATCAGCCCATGGGAAGCACAGGGAGCTCTTGAGGACCAGCAACCTTGGGTCTGGATTTGGGGCCCACTTCTCCCAATACTATGATGTCAACTCAATTAGGGCCACCTGAACCTCCCTGTCCAGGACCCCATCATGCAAGCCTAGTGAGGGAGCACACAAAACAGCCTCTGTGGGTGGAACCCCAAACCAGAGGGCTGCTGCACCTCAACAATCCAGAGCTTCAGCAAAGATGCACTTCCAGGCTGAGTCTCACCCCCAAGTGTGTACCCTGAAGCCCAGACCCTGAGGTGCAGGGATGGGAGGAGGGTCACTGGAAGGCTCTCGGGGTTCGACAAGCGATGGGATTAGTGTCCTTGAGGAGGAAGGGACTAGGCTCCCGCTCCCTCCAACATGTGAGGACCTGCAAGCCAGCATCCTAACCTGACTTGCAGCTCCCGGAGCTGTAAGAATAAGTATATGCTGTCTCAAGCCCCTACCTGTAGGTGCCATGGCAACAGCCTCAGCTACTAACAAAGGCTTCCTACCTAAACCAAGAAAGAGCCTAAGGAACAGACTGTTTGAAAATGCTTGTCACCGCAGGACTCTCAAAGTGACTGCAACAAAACTTCATGGTGTCAGACGTGAAGGGCCCAGAGCTCATGCCAGCTCTGTGAATTCCTTTGGCCTTGGGAAACCTATCTGGCCATGGACTCCACAATGGCCTTGCCACACCAATCCCTACTCCAGATGTAAACCACTCTCTAGCCCCAAGGAGGGCTGAGCTTCCCGCCGTCACAGTACTCATGGGGATCACCATGTGACTGAAGTCCAGGCTTCGAAATGAGCTGCTGGGGTCAAGTTCCGCCACTCATCAACTTCTTCTCCACATGCCAGGGGTTCTGATCTACATGCCTGATCTTAACACTGCTACCACGAGGACCTGACAAAGGACCCTAACTGCAAAGCCTATTGCTCACAAGAACAGGAAGGGCTTATGGTAACCAATAAAAATTTGATCATCAAGATGTTTTCAAGTCATATTCAAATAGTTCTTACATTCAGATCAAAGATTTAGGGAAAAAATAAGAGAGGTGAATGTGGTTATTGGTATGGACAGAGAGGGAGGAGAGGGGGCTGAGTGTAGTAGGATCTGCCTGCAATCCCTGCCTACTCCTCATCCTCACGAGGCTAAGGCAGGAGAATCACCACAAGTTCAAGGCCAGCCTGCACTACAGTGAGTTCAAAACTAACTTGGATTATACAACAAGACCTTGTCTCAGAAAAACCTAAAGGAGAGAGAAAAAAGAGAGGGAAGACAGCAAGAGCTGTTCAGCTCTCAGGACGGTGGAACCCAGGCACCACTTGTCCCAGTACTCACCTTGGGACACGAGATACGGGGGACTGATGATGGCATCCATGGTCTCCTCCACCTCACAAAAGGGGTTCTCCTCAAAGATCAGGGTGTAGAGTGTAACACCCAGAGACCACATCTCCAGCTCTGGCCCTCTATAGCTGTCAGGAGAGGAAAGATCATTTCAGGGCCTCTGGTGTCCAGCACCATTTTCACTCAGTCCCACTGTGACTCTGGCCTCCCCAGCCAGCCGTGGGCTCCCAGTAGACTACAGATCTCAATGGCTACTCAGGTCCGCCTGGGGGAAGTGGTCTCAGCGGCTCAGGAAGCCCTGTGGTCTGGGGGAGCTGGGCTTCCTGCAGGAGCTGTGAAGGTAAAATGAGGACAGCAAGTCACTTGGCCTCCTGGGGGGGGCGGGGCAGAGAGTGACCAGCAGCGTCAGAACAGGATGTGCAGCTGGAGCAGGAGAAAATGGGCAGGGCGGAGTGTGACACCAGCCAAGGGACAGGCAGGCTGGAAGCGGCTGCCGAGGAGCAGGCCTGGGGAGAGGCTGGGGCCGTGCTGTACTGCCATCATCATAACCCTCAGCTAAGCCCCAGCGCTTTGGTGGAACAGCCTGCATCCTCACATCCAGCAAGAGAGTGTCATCCTCATCTAGAGGGAAGAGCAGTGAGATGACTCACCCAGGGCTGCCACAGTGCTGTACTACCTGACCCAAGACTCCTGTGGGAAGCAGTGGCTGCGCCTGCAGCCCCAGTTAAACAAAGGCGCCCACAGCTGCCATGGAGGGCAAGAAACTGAGTTGTAATTGGAGCAAGAAAATTAAGTCAGGCTGTGTCTGTGTCACTTCTGCTTTGTAAAGGAATATTTCTAGATGTTAAAGAGAAAGATCCACTGGAGCACACTGCGGTCAGGTAGCTTTTTCTACAAAGGGATAGATAATGAATGTTTAGGCCTGTGGAGCCAGGCCATGTGGTCTGTGCCAGCTCCTCAGCTTTGTCATGGTGGCACAAAAGCAGCCTCAGACAAGAGCAGAGCACACAAAGCTGCATCCCACTGCCCATGTTCACAGCCACGATCCCCATAATAGCCGACAGGAGTACAGCTCCAGCCTCTACTATAGCTGGGTGAGGTGACATACAGCTGTACACTAGCCACTCCCAAGGCTGAGGTAGAAAGATCTTGACTTAAGAGCCCAGCCTAAGCAACACAGCAAGACTCCTTTCTCAGAAAAACGAAACAACAAAAGTTACTGTAAGAAAGCCCCATACCCGGGCAGATGGGGAGAGGACAGCAGAGGGACAAGGACCTCACAAGACAAGTTTCTGGCCCGGAAGCCATGACCAGTGCTGACATCTGGGTTGCTGAGGGGAGGGACCTGTGACAGGTAGGATGGGGAGGCCACTGAGCTGCTAGGGACCTGACCCGGGGCAGCAAGACTGGCCTTGGAGAACCTATCATGGGCCAGGAGGCAGTGGACACAGCTCCCCTCCAACACCAACAGCCACTGCAGAACAGGGAGAGCTGCCCACTCCCTGGGTGCCATGCCCCAGTGTATCTCTCTGTGGGGGCCCAGAGCACACGGGACCTGGACCTGGAGGCAAGGTTTACTCTGCAGCTGGCATCATCCATGGGGAAGTCTGGAGCAGACTGAGCACCAGGACTTCAGGAACCGGTATTTCCTGGCTCCCAGATGAAGGACCTCATCTGGGCCCTGGCCCCACTCCCACCATCCTAGTTGCCAAGCAGTTTTTCATGAGAACTGAGACCCCGTACAGGAACAGCAGTGGTTTCAAGCACAGCCTGCACACTCCTGAATCAACAAACCAGCTTGGGAAGGCTTCTTATACCAGTCCTCATCTTCGCCTATCACATTTCCCTAATTTCTGTTATAGCAAAATCCAAACATAAACAAAAGTTGAAAGAATAATAGAATAAACCAGACCAATGTCTGCTGTCTGGCTTCCTGTGACCAATCTTACTTTGCCTGCTTCACCACTTTTCTTCAAGGCATTACACTTATCACTCAACACCTTCATGACAGAGGCACAAGCTGAAACTGTCTGGTCCCAGAATCAAACCAATGGGGTCAGCAGGAATGGCAACAGGTAGTAAACATGTGCTACATACGGGTTCCCCATGAGAACTTCGGGGGCGCAGTACTCAATCGTCCCACAGAAAGTGTAAAACAGTTTGCCCCTTTCCAAGTAGGCAGCTGAGCCGAAGTCGATCAGCTTGATGGTGAAGTCCTCTGCAATCACAATGTTCTCGTCCTTGATGTCCCGATGAATGATACCTTTTGAGCGCAGGTACCCCACTGCCGACACCAGCTGGAACCAGAGCCAGAGTGGGCTTTTCAAGGAGCAATAAGTAAAACATGCATCTGAAATAAACAACATCCCTTCCTCTTCCATAAAAGGAGGGATTAATTTTTTGTCCTATACATACCAAGTACTGTCAAAATACTATGAACTTTCCTGTTTAGCCTATTGTTCTGATTACTACTATGTATTAAATTTTTTAATTAAAAAATAAAGAACAATGACAAGAACTGGGCGTGGGGCTGGTGAGATGGCTCAGTGGTCTAAAGCACCTACTTAGAACAAGCTAAGCAAAGCACAGGGACCTCGGTTCAATCCCCCAGCACCACATGCCAGCCAGCCCCGCCCCCTGGTGGGCTGAGCTGGTCACACACACACACAAAATAAATAAATAAATAAATAAATAAATAAATTTAAAAAAAAAGAACTGGGCGTGGTGGTGCATGTCTGTAATCCCAGCACTGGGAAAGTTGAGACAGGAGGAGTGCTGCAAGTTCAAGACCAGCTTGGGGGTGATAAAAGTGAGCACAGGTCAGCCCAAACTCCATAGCAAGACCCTGTTTCAAAAAAAAAAAGAAAAGCAAAAGAAAAAAGTAGGGCTGGAGAGATGGCTCAGTGGTCTAAAGCACCTACTTGAAACAAGCTTGGCAAAGCACAGGGACCTTGGTTCGATCCCCCAGCACCACATGCCAGCCAGCCCCGCCCCCTGGTGGGCTGAGCTGGCCACACACACACACACACACACACAATAAATAAATGTAATAAATAAAAATAAATATAAAAAAAAAAGTAGACATTTTCCAGTGCCCAAGTCTGATCTGATTAAAAACCAACAGGCAGGGACCGGGGAGATAGCCCAGTAGAATAAGAGCTTGCCTGGCAAGTGCAAGGGCCTAAGTTCAATCCCTGGTTCCGGGGGGTGGGGGGGTCCAGGCAGTCCACAAGCGTCTCACATGAAGAACCAGATGGGGCAAAAGCAAGACACTAAGAAACCCATGGTGGTTAGTGTGGGCTGAGGGTAGAATAGAGGTGCCCACCAGCAGGCGCCACACAGATAGGCGCAGGGAGGCAAGCACAGAGGCAGCATGGTGCGATGCTCCTGCTATAGGACTAAGCACTTCTGAGGAGAGCAGTGTGTAGTATTGGCCATCCTTCCACAGCAAGCAGGTTGCCTGCCCAGGAGAAAACTCTGAAACAGGCTCCTCAGCTCAGCCATGAGGCATGCCCACTCACCCCAGGCTGTCTACCTGCCCACTCTGAAACTCCAGGACAGAGTCCACCATGTCAGCCTTGCCCCCGGTGTCTGACTGTGTCACAGCTGGGTCGTCATCTGGACCACTCGACTTAGGGATCTCAGGGATGAAGGCAATCAGTTTGATCTTTGAGACAACTTTATATTTACAAATGAATCATAAGCAATAGTTAATGGCAGGTGAACTAAGTTCAACAAATTAACTTTTAATTTTAAAAACCAACATTTATATACATATACAGGAAAAATTATGCTCACCTGCACATTTACATTTGCACACAGATCTACACGTGCATGCTCATACATACCTCCATATACATATATGCATATACCCGTACATGTTTCAGACACATAAACGTACCTAAACACACATGTACATATACTAGACACATTCATAGCAGAACCAGTCAGGGGGCCGGGGAGATAGCTCAGTAGAATAAGCACTTGCCTGGCAAGCGCAGGGTCCTGAGTTCAATACCCAGTACCGCAAAAAAAAAAAAAAAAAAAAGAGAACCAGTCACAACAGGGGAAAAAAACAAGGCTGGGGAGACAGCTTGGCAGCATAAGCACCTGCCTGGCAAGCACAAGGTCCAAGTTCGATCCCTGGTACCACATGCCATGCCAGCCACGGAACCAGCTGTGGTGGCACACACCTATAATCCCAGCACTGGGGAGGTTGAGACAGGAGGATCACTACGAGTCTGAGCTGCATAATGGAAACCCTGTATCGATAAAAATAAAAAACAGGGGAAGTCTCAGTGAGTCCTGCTGACTGTGGTGCCCCGAGAGAAGCCATCCCTCTTCAGGCTTTTCCTGCCCTGGACCCACGGGGCTGCCCAGAAGAACCATTCACGAGCCCTCGCTGAGCAGGCCTGATGGGCCAGGCACTGCGAGGTGACATGCTGACCATCAGTACTGCTTACATGTACACATATAAATTACAGGTCTGTATTTGCACAGGGGGCCACAGAAACTTTTGCCCAAATTTAACATATAAAACACCATAAACCGGTGTAGCGGCACTGAGATCAAAGGATCCTTACATTGGGCAACTTAACAACTTAGTGAGATCCTGTCTCAAATAAGAAGAATAAGATGGGCTGCTAAAGTACATCACATGAAGGACTTCAATCCTCAGCACCACAAGAAACAAAGCCAGAAAGCACTATGTCACCAGCCCAGAGTAACTGGGAGAGAGCTGCTTTCGCCAGTGGGCTCCTGAGGTCACTGCTCAGATCTTCTGCACATGAGGGTTCAGGCACGAATCTGCCACACGCTGAAGCAGACAGACACATAACCCTCCAACACAGGAAGAGGGGGACAGTGACACATTTCTGGCGTAACCATGAAGCCTAAAACTCAAAAAGGCGGTATCTGAGAAACTCAACTTCAGAAATCCAGTGACTTCTGGAAATTTATGCCTTTGAGGGAAGAAAAGTTATGAATGGAACCTGCAAAGGGCAAACTGAATTGTTTGCACAGTCCCTCTCTTGTATTTTTTTTTTCCTTCCTTGCCAGAGAGCTGGGAACAGTCTATGGTGAAACCACTCCTCTGCTCCCAACTCAGAGTAACAGCTACTGTGCCCTCCCCCTCCCTCTTCTAGGGCACCTCTCTGTCCTCCTGATCACTCGCCCATTCCAATAAAGTATCAATGGACAAAGATCAATAAATAGTTAGAGGGGCCGGGGAGATGGCTCAGTGGAATAAGCGCTTCCCTGGCAAGCGCAAGGGCCTGAGTTCAATCCCCGGTTCCGCAAAAATAAATAAATAAATAGACACAAAACAGATCAAGTCAAATGCTTAGTGCAAAATGAGACTGCCCAGCCTCACCTTGCTGATGAAGAACCAGCACTTACACGGCACCATGTGCCTATCTTAGGGCACTCTCTGATGCAGCCCTAACCCTCAGCATGTAGTACAGCAGTGATTCAACTACAAAGACGAGAAAATAGAGGAGGGCAGTGATTTCCCCAAAGTCCCATGGCTAAAGACAAGAATTGAGATCAAAATCTCAGAGCTCACAGCTCAGGGACAAATGTGTTGGTTAATACTTGCAACTGATGGGCCAGGGATATAGCTTAGTGGCATAAGTGCCTGCCTGACAGGCACAGGATCCCAAGTCTCCGACACCGCAAAAAACAAGAACAAACAAACACATACACACACAAAAAAACCTGTAACCAATATAGCCACTGTACTTATATAAATAAACCTTAATCACAAAACACACTTCCCTGCTCAGTGCACGAAGATATCTGGTCCTAACTTCACTTTTTCTACTTCAACCATAGAATTCTCTTCTCAAAGTGTGTCTTACCTGTCAGATCCCAGAGCTGAAAGCTAGATCCATTCCCAGACCCAGGCCGGAACCACTGATCCGTGCAGCCACTGGCCGAGCACCCAAGGCCTCATCCACTCCACACAGCACCAGCCTGACTCACCTGCCGGAAAATGTAGCTGGCCAGGGGCTCATCCAGGCTGGGGTGCTGGTCAATGAAAGCAAAGAGGTCCAGGCCAGAGCCATGCTTCTCCATCACCAGCTGGAAGAACCCTTGGTTTTCAAACACATCTACTATCTGGAAAAGACAGTGTTGCGTCCGGCTCAGTTGAAATATCTTCAGTCAGCAAATCATGAAAATTTTGCAGGGACACATTTACATAGGAAACCACCATCTACCTTGATGATGTTGGAATGCTGCACACTAGACAGAATTGCAATCTCTAAAGTGACTTTTCCAAGTCTAGGGTCCTCAACCCAACAATCCTCCAACACTTTCTCCTTCTTAATAAACTTCACCACCACCTATGAGGGAAAGGAGGATAAAAATAGAACTAGTCCTGACACCACCAGTTTCCCCAAATCATGGACACCAAGAACACACATCCCAACAGCACTTGAGGGAAGGACAGTAAACTCTGAGGCTCACCAGGGAGAGAAACACACAGACACTCAAATGCACCCAGAAGGGCACCAACACATAGCAAGAATAGGCCTCACACAGTCAGGCACTATATAGAGGGCACCCAGGGGCCAGGAAGGACATTTGTTGGTTAGTTTGCTGCTTTGGTTTTTGGTGGGAACATTTTTCCAGTTGAGCAGAGATCTAAGTTCAGTTTCCAAGTGAGCCGCAGTGCTCCCAGGTATCAGCAGGGCATGTGTGCAGCAGGAGAGTGGCATACAGCCTGTGCTCAGAGAGCAGGGACAGGAGAGCAGAAGGAGCCTCGACACACCCTGCCATGGCTCAAGTGCCTGCAAGGCAGGGGCAAGGTCCAAATCTGAGGTATGGCGGGACCACTGTTGGGATGTCAAGTGAGTACCTGGTCAGAAGTACCCTCCTTGAAACCAGAAACTGCTCATGTGCCCGCCTGAGACCTCAGTGCTCCCTTCCCAGTGACATCCCAGACTCCACAAGCCAGGAACCCAAAGTTGGGGCCGCTCCTCCAAGCCTCAGAGCACCTCCTTGTTTTGCTCCTTGTCCACAGCAATCCATACGAAGCCAAAGGCTCCGCTACCGAGGGGGCGCACGGTGCTGTACTTGTGTGAGTACTTGCCCTCACACGCGGCCAGCCCCTCCAGCTCCGCGGGCATCTGGGAATGCAAAGGAAGGTCCATGGTCACACTTAGGATGCATCACCCACACTGCCTCCCCTCGTGCAGCACCCACAGGGAGCTGCCTAGGGCATGTCCCAGGGCCCCACTGTGCACACAGTGCTTATGCAGATTCAAAGTCTTGCAGCTGCCTTTACCCTCACACAGGACCCTAGAAGGCAGTGTCACAAAGCCACAGACAAACTCTCCTCCCATCCTGGCAGAGACAGCAATGCCAGTGAGAAAAGCTGGTGCACTGGGGACACAGAGACACGGCCTGAGTGACCTGACACCCACCTCCCCGAGCCCAGATCCTGGGGGCTCAGGCATGGAGTGGGTGGAACTAGGCAGGCTGGTAAGAAGCAGGCGGGTCCTGGTGGCTGAGTCTCGGTGGCTGTGCAGCAGGTCCTTCACCAGCCAGCAGCAGAACAGGCTCGAGGAGCCCTGGAGCTCCACCCGCTTCACCTCAAAGTGTATGCCTGGGGATGAGAGGTGCAATGGCACCATGCTGCCCTGACCCTGCCAGGTGACAGTGCTAAGATTCAAAAGCCTAACACCCAGAGCAACCTGAGGACTACCCAGAAGCCCTGGATGCGGGAGAGAAAAGCCCAAAACATCAGAAGGGAAAACACCATCAGAGTCAGCTGCTCAGCCAAGAGCCAAGGATGCCTGTAGGAAGCTGCAAGCCACCGCAGCTCTGGAAAGCCAGGACAGAGCAGCCCTCCACTACAAGTCAAGAACTATAGAACCTGAACAGCTATGTCACAACCATTCGGATGCATACTGCAGCTACATACAGCCATATTTGCCTTGAACCACCCACCTGTACACCACCATGAGGCACAAGTACTTCTGTGCAACTGTGCTTGCATCTTCACGGAGCTGCCTAGGTATATGGGGTCTGCTTTACTGGCAGAGGGTTTATAGCCAATTTTATTTTCTTGTTCATGTTTTCTAATAGTTATATAATAATATTACCTTTTTTTTTTTTTAATTTAGGAAAAGAACTATAGCATTCAGCAGTTCAAAATCAGTGATGTGGAAACAGCTGGCCAAAATAATAAGGCCCTGTTAAGAAATGAGAAGAGTGGGCCAGCCAGATAACTCAGGAGATTAAAGTGCCTGCTTAGGCAGGTGCAGGGACCAGGGTTCAATCCCTGTGTGCCATGCCGGTCCCACCCCTGGGGTGCACTGAGATGGCGATTAAGATTGGTGGTGCATGCCTGTAATCCCAGTGCTTGGGAGGCTGAAAACAGGAGGATCACTATGAGTCCAATCTGTGTAGTGAGACCCTGTAGACCCTTAAAAGAAGAAAGAAAAGAGTAAGCCAGGCGTGGTGGTACATGCCCATAATTCCAGCACTCAGGAGGCTGAGACAGGAGGATCATTGCAAGTTTGAGACCAGCCTGGGCTACAATGTGAGCTTAGGGCGAGCTTGAACTGCACAGCAAGACCCTGTCTCAAAAGGACAAAAAGAAAGAAGAGGAAAGGAAAGGAGAGAAAAGAAATGAGAAGAGTAAGGCAGACAACACCAACCTAGGTCTCAAACTGCACAGAGTGGAGTTTGGGGGAGACCTGAGCAGCCTTGCACCCAAAGCACCTGAAGAGCAATTTAACAGCAATCCTGGTTTCTTGGTGTGACCTAGGATGACAGACCCCAGCATCATAGCACCCAGCATTTCTGAGCCTGGTGAGGTCTCCCTGTCTGTCATAAAGAGTGGTCTGAGAGGCAGGAACAACATCCTGCCTCTCAGGATCCTTTAATAAAGCCATTCAGTGGCAGGGCCCCTGCAGACCCCAGGGCTAGGGCATCCTGACCCTGCAGTGCTGAGCTCTTGGGGCCACATGCCCTCCCCCAGGGCTGGGAACATACTCAGCCGCAAGCCATCTCGGTGATAGCAGCTCCCAGAGTAGGTGCCCTCCTGGATCTCCTGACATGGGCTAGCAGCCCCAGGCGTCACAGGGGTAGAAGTGACCCAGGCACTCAGCCTTGGGTCCTCCGCAGACGGCCGTGCATCCTCCCGGCAGGCACCCACAGTGGGAAGGACACATTCTGGGCCTTCTGTGTTACCAGCCTCATAATGTTCAGAAGACAAGTACATCTGAGGCAGTTCTGTTGGGTCATGCTCCAGGCAGCTCTCCTGGGACCCTCGGCCTTCCCCAAGGTCGAAATAGGTGCCGGTCAGTAGTGACCGCTCTCTATCACCCACAGCACCTGGCCTCTGTGTCTGGAGCATACCCACATCAAAATCAGAGCTCACTGCTGAAGGAGAGGGTGTCGCCCCAAGTTCAGATGTGGCGCAGGAACAACTGGAGGAAGTTCCATCTGTGTCATCACTGAGAAGGAGCTCCCTAAGGTTCCAGGAGCAGGAACTGACAGCAGTCTCCCAGGCTTCTGCCGCCTCGAGGACACCAGGGAGGTCGGTGGCCAAGGCATAGCAGGCAGAGGAGCTGCCCAGGTGGCTGCCACACAGGTCCCTGCCACCCAGGCTGCTGGTCTGGGAGGCGGTGTAAGGTCGGTGCCCTGCGGGGACAGGTTCCAGGTGGGAGATGCCCAGAGCTCTCTCAGAACTCAGCCTGGACAGCGGCTCCTTAACCAAGCACATCTGCAGCTCCTCATGACTGGCTCTTCCTCCTGGCCAGGGCTCATCAAGAGTGGGTGTCCCAAGAGAGACACAGGCTGCCCCTGAGGGGCTGGGCACTGAGTCTGGGCTCAGTGGCTGTAAGAGCCACTCACTCCTGTAATGGGGGCAGTAGGTCAGGGGGGCCCCTCCTGCTGGATGCCCTGCAGCATGGAGCTCAGGCCTGGTGGCACCAGCCTGAGGACTGGTACTGCTGGTATCTCTTAGAGCCCACTGAGCCTCCTGATGGAGGCCCCATATTCCAACATCACTGTTCCTGTGCTCAGGGGGGACTGGAGAACCAGAGTCTTCATGGGAAACAAAAGGTTTTACATCTGCTGGCTCAGACCTGCTTTCTCCCAGAAGATCCTGCATGTAGGTCTGTGCTATTGCAGGCTCCACCCTCCCCAAAGCAGTGACCTGCTGGTCCCTGAGCAGGGACCCCACACCACAGGCTGGAGGGCTTCCCTTTGGGCTGTCCTGAGGGTCCTTGGGCAACACCCACTCTCCACAGGTGGGTGGGCTTTCCTCTGAGATATCCTGCTGGTTCTCAGACGGTGACTGCTTCTCATGGGCTGGCACATGCCCCTCTGGGATACTCTGCTGGTCTGTAGGTAATGAGCGTTTGTCCTGGGCCAGTGGGTGCCCCTCCGGGACACTGTCTGCCCTGGGAATAGGGATTCAGATGGTAATGTCACTAATAGCTACAGAACAGCAAACAGGAGAAACCACATCTTGGGCCAGGAATGCAGCTCAGTGGCACAGTGCCTGCCTGGCAAGCACAAGGCCCTGAGTTCAATTCCCAGTACCACAAAAAAAGAAAAGAAAGAAAAGAAACCATATCTACTCTCCCTGTATTAGAGATAAGTACAAACCATACCACACCACAAATGTGAAACAGAAAAGACTAAATTTTATAACCCAGTTAAGAAACAAAACACCTTGCCAACATTTTCCATAAAATCCCCATTTGCCAAAGATTTCTCAGCAAGTGCTACCAGAAGCCCACACTGCAGTAAGGAATGCACTTGAGCTTCTCAGCACCCACCCAGGTAGCCCCAGGCCTCCTGCTGGCCACACCTCAAAGTGAGCCCCCAGCAGTTGCCCTGGTCCTGAAGAGACCCTGTCCTGGGGACGTACCAGGGCTGGCGCGAGTGAAACTGGGTGGCTCTTTCCACCTCCTTCCTGCCTGCTGATGCGCTCACAGCAGGGAGAGCCAGGGCCCAAGGTTCTACACCATCCAAACACACCCCAGAGGCAGACTGGAAATTGGGGGCTCAAGTAAATAAACGAAGCACCTGCCGTAGACCAGAGCAGTGATGCCATCCAGAAGGGCCTGGCTCTTGGGAAAATCACCAGACAGGGGCAAGCACATAGGCTCCACCCACAGGATAGCAAATACAGGGACTCAGCCTTGCTACAAGAGCACAAGCAGCATACATGCAATGCATACACGCCTCACACACATTTACATGCAACCACACAGGAAGACAGGTCTGGAAGGCACTAACTGCACAGCCACACCCTCAGGAAAGAGCAGGACTGGATCTGGAGGTCTGGACAGGGTCAAGGGAAAGCTCACTTTACCAGTGTTCTGTGCTTCAAAACACATCTGTGTATTTTAAAAACGATTTCACAGGGCCAGCCAGATAACTCAGCGAATTAAAGTGCCTGCTCAGGCAGACACAGGGACAAGGATTCCCTCCCCAGTGTGCTGCGCTGGCCCCACCCCCAGGGCACACTGAGCCAAGGAGTTAGACTGGGCATGGTGGTGCCGCCTGTAATCCCAGCGCTTGGGAGGCTGAAAACAGGAGGATCATTACAAGCCTGATCTGTGTAAAGAGATCCTGCACTAAATACATTAAAAAACAAAAAAATCACAATAATGAGCTGAAAATTATAACAACGTGGATAAATCTCACAGTTGAACAGGGAATGGAAGAGGCACATGGAAAGGACAGCACAGAGAAAGCTGGAGGCCAGGTCTGTGACCGCAGCTCTGTGCCTAGGGCCAGGGTGTGGAACAAGAGGACACCAGCAGAGCAGAAGGTCACCAGTGCCCGTGGGGTTGGCACAAGGAGGCATGTACACAAGAACAATGCTTTGAAAAAGACAAACTTGGATGAAACACAATACTAGGCACAGCAGGACAATGCTAACAGAATGAATGGGCTTCTGATTCTCCTTTTTCCATCTCGTACCCTAAATAGTACACTTGTACTTAAAATGTAGAAAGAGAACAGCATCGAATGATTCTACAGAGCCAACATCAGTTCTCTGAAATCTGCCTCAGCACTGCTGCACTCTCAGCAGCCAACTTGCTGACCCATAAGCTAGACAGTGACACCGCAGGTACTTTTTACGGAGGTGGTAAAGATCAAGCTGGGTGCCAGGGCCTGTCATCCCAGGACACACTAGTTGCTACTGTCCCCACTAACCAGAGCTGAACGTGTCCTCCCACACCTGCCATTCTTCATCAAGACTCACCCTGGGGACAATCTTGGGGGGCAGGCAGCTGGGAGGCAGTGTCCAGATTCTAGCTGAATCTGCATCCTGGCAGAGACTTCTTGGCTTCCCACCAGCTTCCGCGCTTCGTCTTGTGGCACAGGATCACCAATGACCACTGGATCAACCTTTGGATCTAAGAGCAGCACCAGAAAGGAACACTTTGCACTCACAGGCACTTGGGCTGACAGAAGCCTCTCAGGCATGCTGGCCCTCTTATAGATACCTGTGCTCCAGCATGCAGGGCAGCACTCAGGAAAGCGCTGCATGACACCACTCTCCACTTTTTGTTTGTTTGAGTCAGGGTCTCACTATGCAGTCCAGGCTGGCCTTGAACCCACTATAAAGTCCAGGTCAGTCCTGAACTCACAATGATTCCTGTCTCAGCTTCACAAATGTTGAGATGATAGTTGTGCACCACCATGCCCAGCATTTGTTGCCAACCTCCCTGTCTCAGTGCCTCTGTGCCCCCTGCCCCTGTGGGACAGCAAGCACCCTGACCCATGCCCCTGCCATGCTCTAGCTAGCTCCATAGGCTCCTCCAGGGCCACTCCCAGCAGCCTAGGGCTTGGGGGCAGAGCTCAGTCCAGCAGGCCCCCTCTTTACTGCTGACAGCAATAGCAAAGTGGACACCATGGGGCTGCCAGGAACACAGATGCTGATTCTGATTCTTGGGACAGGAGGCTGGGCGGGCACTCACAGGGTTGTGACTTATGACTGCTCATGGGATTGACACCCAGGAAGTCTCATCCCAAAGACTTAAAATAAGTGCTCTGTTAGAACTATAGGGGTGAGGGGAGGTTGAGCAACAAAGTCAGCACATAGGCTAAGAATATTTCACGCAGGGACAGATCTGTATTGCTACATCAGTTTAGTCTTATGCATCATCAAGGTGCATAAACTCCCTTTGAAATGACAGGACAATGTCAAGCATGGTGGTGCTCGCCTGTAATACCAGCACTCGGGAGGCTGAGGCAGGAGAATCGTTTCAAGTTTGAGACCAGCCTGTGCTACAAAATGAGCAACCTGAACTGTACGGTGAGACTCTGTCTCAACAAGACAAAAGAATACAAATAAAAAATAAAATGACAATACAGTCAGCTAATTCTATCTTAAACACAGGCATAAGTCACACAGGCTGAGGACTCTCTAGTCCCTCCTCCACGCTAACACATCTGTAAGAATAACCCACAACTGCACCTGCCCCGGGTACACCAGGCCAGGACAGCAGCTTGCCACGGAGCTCTGGAGCCCCTATCGTCAGATGTGTCGCAGCAGTTGGGCTGAGCATGCTGGGGGCAGGAGGCCGTGTCTCACCCTGGGAGGGGTCTGAGGTCATTTCCCTGTGTCCACTCTCGCTGCCGGGGTCCAGGCAGTGAGTGAGGTCAGGCTGCCATAAAGAACTGTCGTAGGTGAGGTCCATGTAGTGGTAGAAGCCAGGAATCAGGATGGTGATGTTCTAGGAAGCAGAGGGATGCTTCAGAACCTGAAATGCGTGCCCACTCCAACCTGCAACCCACCCAGAGGAGACGTACAAGCTGTGTCAGCAACCTCCTGGCACTGCACCCCTGGGGGTCAGGCTCCCTTTATCATCCCGAGGCCCTGGGCCATCAGCCAGACCAGGAGCCACTGGGCACAGGGCTCTCCTCCAGCCCTTGGGAACCCGGAGACAGCCCAGGTGACCGCCTAGGAAAATCATCTAGGTAGCTTTAGGCAGGGATCCTCTTACTCCATCTGGGACTACACTCCCTCCAGGTAAAGTGCATGCATTGGGTGGCTGTTAGGAATGGGAGGCCTACAACACCTACAGTCTAGCTGCTTGGAGGGGAGAGAAGTGGCATCCACAAGTCCCACCTTGCCCAGGAGCTCAGCTTTTTCATAGCCAAACAACATCAGTGCAAAGCTGTGATTGATGCCATAGATGGTACCATCCGGCAGGAGCGTGATGAGGCCGCTGATGGTGCAGAACACCCACACGGATGCCCAATAGCCCTGCTCAAGAGCTGCCTTCCCCTTGGCCACTGCCTCCTCGCCACGCTTGGGCTTCAGCTTCAGGCTCAGAGGGAAGGTGCTGCCATCCTTGGCTCTCCCCACAGACCTCTGAATCTCCAGGTTCTGAAACAGACACGCATAGCTCACCACGTGGATGGAACTGAGCTGTGCCTCTTGAGCCCCAGCTCCACTGATATAGCCACAGACAAGACCAGAGAGGACCCATGTGCAGGGGAGGGAAGGGCAGGGGCTCTGGTCAGCCACCACGGGCTTCAGGCCAGGCACACAGTCACCTACTGTGTGCTGACCTCCAGAGACTGTGCCTGCTCCTCATCTGTGCAGGGAGGAAGGCAGCATGCTTGTGCCACGCTTGGACAAAGGCCCTGGTCTTGGACTGTGTCCTCAGGGCCTGTAGTCCCGGGCCTTTACACATCTCCTGCCCCTTCACCCTGGAGCACCAGCTTCCTTGTGTCACCTGACAGAGCAGGTCTGTTCCTGTAATTGAGTTCCTCTTGCCCCACAAAGCACACCCTCCCCTTAGGCATGCTGTGACCTGGGCACATTTGACTGAGGTGGGGCTCCCAACATCAGACTTGGGGGTCAGTCCCTGGCTTCAGGCTGGTAAGCCAGATCAGGTCTCTGTACCCCACCTTTGTTCATGGGTTCTCCCACCTCACTCGCCCTGAAAGCAGAGAAGCCTCCTCAAGAGCACTACACCCTGAGAGAAATCAGAACTCGGGACCCTTTGTCCCTGCAGGGTGCAGGCCACGGCCCGGTCTCATCAGCCTTCTCTGGCCCAGGCCTGAGAAAGCCCTCTCTGCTGGCTCACTTGCTGCTAGGGGTTGGGGGTTCATAGGCATCTTCTGCCTAGAATCTCCAGGACATCTCCACCCATTGGGTCAGAAGGGAGCCCAGGGGCAGCAGGTACTATGGGGCCATCTTTAGCCACAGGGACAGTGGATCTCTGCCAGCTGGACAGCCCAAGGGGCAGCTGCCTTGGGACAGGGTACAGGGTGCTGAGCTCCAGGGCTGGGGTAGTGGCTCAGCTTTCCTGGAGGTATGACACAGCAAACACAGCTCAGGAGCCAAGTCTGCAGGACCATGGCCTGGGCCATCCTGGAAGGACCATCATCTTCACTGCAGCAGGGCACCCCATCCAGGTAGCCCCTTCCTCCTGGCATGGACATGACATCAGTGAAGCCCCAGCATCCATGTGCCCTGCATAAAGGCCCACTCTAGCCAGGAAAAAGGAGAGAGCCACTGCCTGCATGTCAGGCCTCTGCACCCATCTCCAGTAGGATTGAGCCATGTTGGCCCAGGGCTGGGACGGGCCACCTCACATGCTGCCCCGAGCAGCTAGGAAGCACTGTGCTGGGTGTGCCTACGAGGGCACCTTGAGATGTGCCTTGCAGACTGAGGACGAGATGGCTAGCATGGGCAGCACCAACCAGCTGACTGGAGACCCAACAAGGACACTGGAAGAGGTCAGGAGGACTGGCCGGGTCCTGGACCTGGGATCTGCTCTCCTACCCTTTACCCGGGAGCAGCGGCAGCTGCCTTCACTCAGGCTGAGCCATACTCAGGAAGCTGAGTGACTAGATAGCTCAGCCTAGAAAACTCCTTCTTGCCTGTCTGGTGGGTCCTTGAGTAACAGTCAGCTGCCACCCCAGGGTCCCCAGTTCAGAGCAGGTGGCTTCTCTAGGACTTCTCTGTTGCATCACCATGCAAATCAATTGCCCTAACAAATCCCCTTGCTTTTCTGTACATACTATCCTACTGGTTCTGTCTGGGGAGGCCTAACACCAGGGCAACCCTGCATCAGCCAGCCATCCCTGCTCCATGTTAGAGAGAGAGGACAGGAGCAGTCAGCCAAGACCACTGGGCTCTGGCGTATGGTCAAGCCTCCAGGACAGTCTTGTCGTTGGGCTATAGCGCAGGCAGCGTAGGCTGTCAGGGTCCTACCTCCGGGACAGGCTGGCCAGGAGGAGGGAGCCGCATGGATGGAATCAGGTCTGTGATGAGCTGCCCGATCATGTCTTCCCCCGACGAGAATCCATGGAGCTGAGCAAAGATCTCATCGCAGGATGTGATAGCTCCCTGGAGAAAAGCCCGCATTATATTATAATAATCTCAACACACCTCAGCTTTAAGGGTCACTAAAGCTCAGTGTCTGCAAGCTAAACACAAGGCTGCCTTCTCAACTTCCAAATCAGAAGTATGAGAGGCACACACATGTGCTCTCTTATACGACCAGTGTGGTCTCCCATTTGTACTGCAAGTGCAAGCTGCTGGCTTTCTCCAGTGCTGCTCAGAGGCCCTGGCACACACCCAGGCTCCTCCATGCCAACAGCCTGGCTCACAGCTCTGAGCTATCTGCAATGCCTGCCACTGCCCTGAGGGTTTCACCAACATGATTTCATCAACATATAAAAACAATCCTGCGAGCACTTAGGTCGACACAGCCCAGGCACAGATAATGAGCCTGGCACTGTCTTCTCCAGGAGTGAGCCAGGAAGGCAGAAAGAGTGCTAGCTGAGGCACTAGTGTTGGGGTCCCTGAGGCTGTCCAAGGCAGAGCTGCATGGACCCAATACTTAAACACACACTCACCTCACTCTGGAAGGTGACCCAGGCTGAGATCCTCTCAACAGGCTCCAGGACCACCACACAGCACAGGCCGCGTTCCTGCCGCACCCTCTTCATCCACACAGAGACGGGAATCTTCTCCCCACCGTGGCTGACAATGTCCACCTATGAATACAGGTTGCTGCTCCAGGTGTGAAGGACCCACATGCCCTATGGGTCCTGGTGACAGCACAGTGGGTGCCTGTCCTAGGAGAGGCCCTCCCTGCATCCAGCATGCCTGTGAATTCAACCTCCCTCACCTGCCTCACACTTTAGACATCTACTAAATGTAACCTAGGCTTCCAAGACCAAGGTCACAGCCTCTGAGTGAATGTTTGATCAAGAGAGATATATGGTGTGACAGTTAACTTTAGCTATCAACATGACTGGACTGAAACACCTAAAAAGCCAGCAGGGCACAAGTCTAGCTGTCTTTGAGGGCATTTCCAGAGATGCCAGCCTCCTGCATGTGGCCAGTGGGGGTGTGGGAAGCGCTGTCCTGGCTGGGAATCTGGAGAAATGCAGAAGGGCAGGACCTTTCCTGTACACACAGGACTTTTCTTGAGCAGAACCACTTTCTGCTGCAGCCATCACTACAGACATCACCCTCTACACTTTAAGCATACACTTGCACTAGTAATTGTCCAGGGGCCCTTAGCCTGCAGCGTGGGACTGAGGGCCCATCGCCAGGCCTCTTGTTCAAGGGTGTCCAGTTTCCTGGGCTCAGCTGCCACTGCTTCCCTTCTTGAACAACTTGCAGATGGCCCTTGTGAGATTATTTAGCTTCAGATTCTACAAGCCAATTGACTACATCTTCTATTATAATTTCATATATATATATATATATATATATATATATTCTTCAGGAGAGCCCTGGCCAAAACACTCAGCTTCATGGCATTATGGGAGCAGGGAAAGGGAGTATCTGTTATTCTTAAATAGACATGAATGTATGTTTAGCATCATAGTTTTTCTTTGCAGTCATGAGCTCTTGAGTCAGTTATTTCCAGATGCAGGAGGCCCTGCCTACCTCCTTCCACCCTGGGGCTCAGGCCTCAGCCCCTGAGAACTCTGCTCAGCCATATCCAGGTTGGAGCCAGTGGCACAGGTAAGAGGATGAATACTCTGCAGGCAAAGAGGCTGGGTCATACCACCCACCAACCAAGCAAGTGGGATGTGAGGGTTTAGATGCTAAAATGAGTCAAAGCAATAAAATTTCAGGGCTCTTCTCTTCTGGGAATCTCAGTGATGCTTGGGAGTTTGCAAATGCGAAGCAAGCCTCATTTTTCTACCTCAGCTCAAGGCTCTCTAGGACCTCTGCCTGGGTCAGCCCCATAGCAGTGTGTGCCTGCTGTCCCTGGCATAGCCCCCACCTCACAGAAGAAGCAGTGAAACTCAAGTTGGTGCTGCCCGACCCTGTACACAGCGCAGCTCAGGGCAAGGCCTGAGAGAGGAAGGCAAAGTCTCCACCACTGTGCACCAATCTAGCTGCAGAGCCAGGCCAGCCCCACTACGCAGGCTCACCACTGTGCCAAACACCACTGCAGCATGGCCATCGGCCTCCACGTGCTCTTCACTGAGCGCTTCTGCAACCTCGGAGTCTGGCTGCAGGAAGAAATGCACCAGCTTCTGGCCGATCAGGTCATGGCTGCTGTACCCCAGAAGCCCGCAAGCTTTGTCATTGGCAACCAGGATCTGGAGGAACAGAGTGGACGCAGTGTCACCAGCAGTTCCTCCTACTCCCAAAGCAGCCAAGGGGGACAGTGTGGGCCTCGCCCTCCCATGCCTCCAGCTCCCTGGCAAGGGTCTCAGAAGACAATGCACACACTGTGCCCAGGCATCACAAGCACACAGACCCCAGACATGGTCAGTGAAGAGCCTCCCAGGACTCCTGCCCAGCCACAGTGGGCATGTGACAACCAAGACTAAACTCCACTGCTACCTGCTGCTGTTGGCTACATGTACACCAACGTGCATGGCACAGCTGCCCCGACAGAAGCCTGAGCCGGCCCTCCAACATGAGGTTAGTGATAGCTCACGTGCCCCCCTCCCTGAAGCCCCGTCCTGGGAGGACAGTCAGTCTGGTCTATTCAACTCATACTTCATTCTCTGAATTTTTATATCCTTTTCCTACTACACAGCCAAAGCCAAATGTTCTGATGTGCTCATAAAACACAAATTCCAGCCAGGCACAGCAGTACAGACCTGCAATCCCAGGCCCTCAGGAAGCTAAGGCAGGAAGACCAAACACTCAAGGCCAGCCTGGGCAACTTGTCAAGACCCTGACTCAACACAGACAATAAAAAAGGGACTGTAGTTCAGTGACACAGCACTTGGCTAACACATATGAGGTCCTGGGTTTGATCCCTGCACCCAAACCTTACACCAAAGCCAATAAATACCTCTGTGGTCTTGGCATCCACAGTGAAGATGGCCTTGTTGGGGTTGTACACTGGGGCCGGGAACAGGGGCACCGAGCATCCCGAAGACAAGCCTCGCAGCAGGGAGCAGCAGGAGGCGCTGCCCAAGGGTGCAGCCAGGTCCACGTGCTCGGGTGCTGTCGGGTAGCGCAGCTTACTGGTACATATGTTCTGGGCAGCCAGGGAAGAAAGGCAGTAAGAGCTCCATCTGTCTTCTGGGGAAGGAAGGACGTGGCTTGAGACTCGCACCCCAGCCAGGAGTGTGCTTCTGATGAGGGTGAACTCACAACCTGTGTGGGTCCATGTTTGGGTTAATCTGCAGAATGAATCGTACCCCAGGACAGTGCCAGGCACTTCCCAGGACCCTGCATGTGGTGCTTCTGGCAGGCTCCCACAAAATATGGACAGCACAAAAAAGAGACGGGATGCCACGGGGAGTCCTCTACATGACTTCCCATCATGGCCCACCCTGTGTTTCCCAGACACAAGAAATACTTTTATTTTTGTATTTACTCTTTTTTTTGTTTGTTTGTTTGTTTGTTTTTTTGTGGCCGGCTCAGCCCGCTTGGGGGCAGGGCTGGCACAGCATGTGGTGCCAGGGATCAAACCGTGGTCCCTGTCCCTAAGTTTGCCTAAGCAGGCAGGTTACATTGCTGAGCTATCTCGCTGGCCCACCTTCTTTTTCTCTTGTTCTGCCCAAGTTTGCTTTGCAGAGCCGGATTCTCCCATATTTATTCACCCTGCACTTTTCCAATAAACTTCTGGGACCGTTTTGGCTTGTCTCATCCAATTCTTTGTTCAAGGCGATAAAGACCTGGAATACTTTGGATTGGCCAGCTGTTTCTAGAGGAACCACCCAGGAACAAGCCCATTCATGCTGCACAGGATCAGGATGCACACCCTGAGCTCTAATCTGCACCTGGAGGTGACTTCCAACCACTGCCAGGGGACACTATGTGCCTAAGATCCCAGCCAAAAGAACAGAGGAGCAGGAAAGGGTTGCGGTGTCCTCCCCAACACAGCCCAGCACAGCCCAGCACCTCAGAAAGCAACTATTCCTACAAGGACTCAGAACTATTCAAGGGAGCACGACACAGAATAGTGACCCTGAAAGCTCAGCTTGCAAGGCTGGTGTCACACCTGAGAGCGCCATCCTGCTCTGGCAGAGCTTAGAGAGTCCATTCTTCCTGCTCAGGTGTCTGCGGGCTGAGAGCAGCTTGCTGGGCGTGGATGCATCCTGTGCTGTTGGACCCATGGCAGGCGTGGATGCAGAGACACTGCCCAACAGGCATCTGCCAGCCTCACCCACAGGTGGGGGACCTGGGTCTTCCATGGAGAGCAGGCAGGCCAGATTCCAAGCCCCTACTTGGGAAAATAAGACCCGGTGAATGTGTGCAACACAGGAGCACAGAAGATCTTAGCCAGTGAACTCCCACCACACTGAGGTATGCTCAGCCCCAAAAGATACCCACGCCACCCCACTAATCAGAGCTGCCCTAAAGTTCGTCTTCCAAAAGAGGCACAGTAGAGTGAGGAGAGAGGCAAAAACTAAAGGAGAGAGTGGGAGGGGCTCAGAAGGGAAAGCAGGTCCTCAGGAATGGGAAGCCCTCCAGGTCTACTCCACTACCCATGCCTGGGGTTCCCAGAGGCTGCAGACCTCCCCAGCACAGGCAACAAAAGCACAACCAGCGATGAGAGGCTATTTCCATGAGGCAGGCCTGGCAATGGAGGTCTGTGCTTTGAACTCTTATTTTGTTATATGTGTAGATTCAAATTCACATTTCAGGAAACAGTCCAGGGGAATCCTATACACCCTTCACAGAGTGTCTTCCAACAGCAACTGCAGTAGAACTACAGCCTAGAAACTGAGGCATGGCTGCTTACCTGCCCATGCGTGTATGTGTGTGTTTGGTATACATGCACACTCACACATACTCACAAGGTACTGAACAGCTCCACATCGTGTGCTGGCAGGTGTGTGAATCATAAATGCACACTCCCCAATGCTGTGCACATGCAGCCACTCAACAGAGCCTTCGAGAGGAAGCACCTCTGCTAGAAGCCCTACCTACTCATGCTGGGTACCCAAGGTCAAGAGCACATGGTGGCTGTAGTGAGAGCCAAGGCAGAGTCCCCCTACTAGCCTGCAGCTGCTCCCAAGGCCCATACCAGCAGCACCTGAGAACAGGCTTAGAAGTGGCCTTGCTGGAAAGCCATACTTGGACCAGCTGGCAGGTGTCTCACACTCTCACTCTCTCTCTCTCTCTCTCTCTCTCTCTCTCTCTCTCACACACACACACACACACACACACATACACAGGCCCTCCTAATGTAGGACAGGCCTCAAGAGGGGACCCAGGAGTGTTCCACAAGGCACTACAAGGAGCCCAGCCCTCCACCCTATCTTTCCTTTCAAGGTTGTCAAAAAGATGAATATACCAAGACAGGTAGAGAGAGCTATTATAATCACAGGTGTGAGCCTGGTTATAACCAAACAGCTACACTCACAGTCCTCCACTGAGTCAAAGGACCTGGCCACATCCACAGGGGCTGCTAGCACTGACCCCACAAGGTAGGGACCTTTGGAAAGGAAAGCTGGGAGCTCCTTCAGGAACACTGGCACCAGAACAGGCCACAGAGCTACATGTACACAGCGGGCAGGTGTGCGCCACACACCTGCAATCCCAGGACTCTGGGGGCCCAAGGCGGAAGGATGGCAAGTTTGAGCCCAGTCTGAATAACTCAGTGACTTAGGGAGACCCTGTATAAAATCTAAAATTTTATAAAGGGTGGAGGTGTTGCTCAGTGAAAAGGCCCGGGGTTCAATCTCCACTACTGCAAAAAAACAAATAGGCAGTAGCACACAGTCAATTTCAGAAACAGACCAGTGGACGCACAGGAGGCAGGTACACACAAGCCATTTCCTATCAGCAGAGAATCATGGAGTGTTCATCCACATTTCAGCACAAGCTCAACTAGCATGGCAGCAGGCTTTTGGTAACAAATGAAAAGCCAATTCTAAATTTTACAAAAAACAAGAATCTAGACAATTTTGAAGAAAAAGAACTAGAAGATTATAGCCCTGATTTCAAGACTTAACTACAATGAAACACTAACCAAAATAGCACAATGGCACAAAAATAAATATGCAGCATAGAAAGTATCAAGTCATAAGACCACCCACATATGGTGAAATCAACTTTTGATAAAGTATCACCTTGTTGGGGGCGATGAGATACCTACAATTCCAGATGTTCAGGAAGCTGAGGTAGGAGGATTACAAGCTCAGAGCTAGCCTGAGCCACTTAGCAAGATCCTGTCTTGAAACAAAATTTTTTAAATGGTATAATAACATATCTCGGTGGAAGAGTGCTTGTCTAGCATGTGCACAGCACAGAGAAAGTCACTGGATGAGGACCCTCCCTAATGCCCAGTGACTTCATCCTCACTGGAGCCTATTCTCAGAGTAACTTAATACAGAAAAAGTAGTCATTTCTAGAAAGAGCTGGAATATTGGGGAAAAAATTTGACCTTTAGCTTTTGCCCCCTGTAAAAATTAATTCAAAGTGAACCATTTTACAATCAGCCAAAATGAGTGTCTACAAACATAATCCTGTTGTCTCGATTCCAGGCACTAGAAACCCAAAACTGAGGTACCAGCTGGACTGTACCCCTCTGCAAAGCATGGGGGCACCTTCTTTCCTGTCCTCACTTCCACAGGTGCCTCTGGCACCCTGTGCTTAAGGCCACATCACCGGGGCTCGGCCTCCACCATCACTTGGCTTCTCCCTGTGCATGTCTCTCCACACTTTCTTCTGCTGAGGACAGAGGCACACTGGGTGAGAACCCTCCCAAGTGCCAGTGACCTCATCCTCACTGGAGCCTAGTCACAGTGGCTCCAAAGATGGCAATCCACATGTCTCTTCATCGATAGGAGGACAGATGACCAAAAGGTGGTGCAGCCACACAAAGGAATCCTCCTCAATCATGCAATACAAAGGAATGCACTGGGGACACACACTGACACAGACCAACCTCAGGCCCATTCAGCTGCATCCAGCAGCCAGGAACAAAATACTGGGTGACGAAGGGTTCCACTGACACAGTGCAGGAGCAGCACGGTCTGGGGCCTCTGGGAGCAGCAGCAGAAGCATGGTGTCCACCAAGCACAGGGAGAAAGAAACTCTCCAGTGGCTTTACTGTGCTTCCAGGGCAGTACACACACCCCAAAGCTCACTGATCTTCACGTACAGGGTGGGTCCTTGGCAGTGTGTAAAATCATAGCTCAATGAATTTAACTTTTAAAATGCCAGTAGGTGATTAAACAAGTAAACAGTCAGAGCTGAAAAGACTTCATGTAATAACAAGATATATATGAATAATCCAAAATGCATATAAACAAGATAAAAATATGACAGAGTGAAGTTAAGAGATAAAGAAAACATACAAAAGACTATCTGTAAGTTTTTGGGTCAGTAAAGTTTTCTTAAATGGGGAACAAAAATATATAGCTATAAAATAAGAATAATAAAGTCAACATTAAAAAAAATAAAAAAATATAAGTTCAAACTCCAGTTCCGAAAAAATAAATGAATAAAAAATAAAGTTAACATTAAAATTGAGACACGTCCACAAGAAGAGCCATAAAGGCACCCAGGCATGGTGTGCACCAGTAATCCCAGCACTCGGGAGGCTGAGGCAAGAGGACCACTACAAGTCCAAGCTGTATAACAAGACACTATACCAAATAAAGATTTTTTAGGGCTGGAGAGATGGCTCAGTGGTCTAAAGCACCTACTCAGAACAAGCTTAGCAAAGCACAGGGACCACGGTTCAATCCCCCAGCACCACATGCCAGCCAACCCCCCCCGGCCCGGTGGGCTGAGCTGGCCACACACACACAAATAAATAAATAAATAAAATTAAAAAAAAAAAAAAAAGAACCCATCCATCAGGACTTTTTTTTTTGGCGGAACCAGGGATTGAACTCAGGCCCTTGCGCTTGCCAGGGAAGCGCTTATTTCACTGAGTCATCTCCCAGGCCCCATGAGGGCTTCTTAGTGAAGCAGGGATACAAGGGGCTCCTCCCAGATGTTCCCAGAGGCGCCCTCTGCAGAGGGGGGAGGATGCAAGCGAGCAGGTGGCAACCCAAAGAAGCACACAGAACCCCCAAGAGCCCGACGCAGGCCCGTTCTGTTGTTACAGACTCTCAGTGCCCGTGAGTGGGGATTACTCCAAATCTCAGGAAGACCTGACAGCATCTCAAGTTTCCTTTCCTCCGAGTTACTCAATTTCTCCTTCTTTAAATTTGGATTTTTTAATCCCTAAGATTAACGTTAAAGAACTCAAAAGTTTAAAAAAGGCCGGACATGCATTTGGCAAAGATCATTCCAGGGCAATGTAGGTGCAAACATGGGACAAGGAGAAAAGTAAAGGTTACCCAGGCCCCAAACTGTGTTGTCCTCAAGACGATGGTAGAAAGATGAAGGGAAGGACCAATAAAAGAAAAGTCTGCATAGAACTAACTGGATTTGCTGCGTGTGGAGACGCGGAAGGTAAAGCGAAAGGTGTCAACACAGCATTTCAAGTTTAGCTCAGGCAAAAGAAAAATCAGCGAAGAAAAGGTTACGGCCAAAGCCCGCGCGAGGGGCTCCCAGCAGGGGCGCGGAAGCAGCCACAGGCGCCGCAGCTCTCGCTTCTCGGCGGGCGCGGGCCGCCTGCAACCGCGCGCAGGACCTTGGGCTCTCTTAGAGCCTTTCCGTCAGATGTCGGTGACTGGATGGACAAACTGCGAAAGGTTAAATTCAGGCGAGAGTGCTGCAATCGCAGGCAGCCTCCACCGCGCCAGGGACCACCGCCTGGTGCCCGGAGCAGCGGCAGCCCCTCGGGCCAGGAGGCCGGGGACAGGTTCCCTCGGCCGGGCATGCGGGCCACCCGCAGTCCGGGTCTGCTCTCCGCAGCGCCAGTGCCTCACCTGTAGCTGCGGAGGGTCGCAGCGCAGAGCTCGCTCCGCAAGGTGGGGAGGACCAATTCGCGCTTCTAGCCCACGGGCCAATCGAAGAGCAACTTGTCACGATTGACAGGTAATGTGGGCCAACCACGAGCACCTGTGGGTGGGACTCGGAGCACCCGCGCGAACGGTTACCAAGGACGCACCGGACGCCCCCTACGGTGCCTCAGAACAGTCACAAACCTCAGCACCGCCTCCTCCCCGTTCCCGTTCCCCCGGTCCTGGGACGCGTTTTCCTCCCGCCGAAGGACAGACGGTGACAGGCGCACAGCTCGCCGAGCGGCTGCCACATCAAAAGTAAAAAACAGCGCCAGCCGTGGGCTGAGCGCGACCAGCGAGAGCCCGGAGCCGTCCCGCCCTGAAGGTGGCCCTTCTCAGGTAAATCCGCGCTCGGAGGCCGAGGAAAGCGGGTGCTCCTGGCGCCCGTCGGCCCGTCGGCCACACACACACACACACACACAGCAGCGGGACGCCGAGGTCGGAGATGCACGCGCAACTGACTCCTCCGGAGCGCACGGAGAGATGGCCCGGCCGCGGCCTTTCCGCCACCCCGCCGCCGGGTCGCTACCGACGCGCGCCCGCGCGCTTCTTCCACCTCACGGCCCGGCGCGGCCAGCCCCAGGCGCGCCGCGGGGAGAACTCCGACTCCCGTGAGGCGCTGCTGCCGCTCCGCGCGCAGGCCCGAGCCTCCGCCGGGCCCCATTGGCTGGCCGGCTCGCAGCCGGGACCTGCGATTGGCTGAGAGCCCTGAGGCGACGGACTCCGGAAAGGGAAGAGCAGCCAATATGGCGGCGGAGCGCGGCGCGGGGCAGCAACAGTCGCAGGAGATGATGGAGGGTGAGCGGCCTGCGGGCGTCCGGGACGGCGGCTGGGGAAGGCGAGCGCGCTGGACCCCTTGCCCGGGAAGGCCTCGGCGGCCCGCCCACAGCCACGGCGGCCGAGCCCCGATGCCTGTCCTCTGGCTTGGCGGGGCGGGGGCGGCTTGGCCCGGGAACCTCGCCCGTGGAGGAGACGGGAGGGTGCTGTTCCAGCCGGCCGGAGGCGGGCCCGCGGGGACCACCCCAGAATGCGGGAGATTGACAGTTGGGGAGGGGAAACTGAGGCACCTGGCGCAGAGACCTGCGGAGTTTGCTGCTTATTCGCGAGGCGGGGGCGGAGAAGGGTCCGCTGTGGGAAGCGAATGGGTTGCGGCGCGGGGATGACGAGGAGCGCCGGAGGTTGAGTTATGCAAGGTCTTGCCTGGTTGCCAGGCTGCAGTCCCTAGAAGACTTCTTCCAGATGTCTTAACACCCCTTCCACATATTGGAATTATTATATTGTTATATATTTGTATGCACGTGTATGTATTATATGTATATCTATGCTCATTTGCTTATTTACGTATATGCGTGTTTGTTAGACGCATGTAAAGACTCATGCGTAAGCATACCTGTCCCCAGTGGAAGTCAGTCCTGTCTGTGAGCACTTAAATGTTTGTAGCTACAGTGTTTGAGTGGCACAAACCCCCAGAATAGCAGCCACTGCTTCCTGTGAAAAATTCTGGGGAAGAAGAATATGGAGTTAGGAGAGCGAGTGCAAAAGCTGTGGCTGGGTGCCTTGAGGTGGTGCTGGTGGCTCTGCTGGGTCTTGATGAAGCACTAGCTGTCAGCCAAGCTGGGGATAAGAAGGGAGGATGTGGGGGCAGGTGTAATCAAATATTATTGCAAATAATGGAAACCTAGTCACAGGCAAAGGATTTGAAGGAGCTTGCCAGGAGTGACAGTCATGTATGATGAGTGGCCAGTGAGGCTCCAAGTGGCCAAGGAGGGCCTGGCAGGGAGCATCACACACAGGGTCACGGACGTTGATATCCTTGTATCTTTTAAGGGAGGAAATCCCTCTTCCTATGCCCCTCTTCCCACATTTCCTTCCTTAGTTGTCTCCATTTCCTTACAAAGGGAAAACACAAAGCCAGGCTTGTCTCTCTTCCACTCCCACAGGTCTTTTGCAGATCTGGCACTTCCACTGTTTCAGTAGCTCCAAACCAACACTACCTCACTTCCCACTGCCAGTACCTTAACTCAGCCATTCCCTCTTCTGTGATAGCTTTCTCTCCCCTTTGCCAGCCCATCACACCCGGAGCCCCACAGACAGCTTGCATGCTTATCTGCAGCAGTGCTGCCCTCAGGACAGCAGTGCAGATTGTGTGCTGGCTGCCCATCCTCTCCGTCCTGTGGAGTGGTGGGATCCAGGCCCAGAACCTGTGCTCCCTGAACCTACATGACAGAGAACTCTGTGCCTGGTGTGACTCATTTACCAAATTCTCCCTTGTGTCATGCATGTGCTGACTGCTCCTGTGCCTTTTCTAACCTAATCCTGACAGTAGTTTCCTAACATACAGGTGCTGCTGTTAATGCCTTTCTATAGATGAGAGGACTGAGGCTTGGAAAAGAAAGTTATGGGCCAGAACTGTGTCTCTAGAGGCAAGATGCATACTCAGAAGAGCCATTGGCATTTCAGAAATATTTTTGGAAACACAGATCAGATTTAGCTTTAGCAGCAAATCAAATTCTGTGGTGCTGGGAGAATAAATTAAACAAGGCAAGCGAGATCACAGAGAGGCTAGTGACCAGGCAAGGCAGGAATGTGGGCTTCAGGTAATAAATAGCCAAGCCGGGTCAGGAAAAAGGAATAGATTTGGAGATTGTGGAGGTGTATTTTAGAAGGATTTGTTTTACCCAACACTCCTTTCCTGGGTGTGCTTTGCTAGATAGAAAAAGAAACACAAAGACATTTGGAATTTTTCCTTTCAAGGGGTACACCTCCTTGTAGGGTAGCAGAAATCTAGAAGGAAAATGCTTTCCTGGTGGTTGGTAGTTCTAAGTAATGTACTAGTGTCTCCAGCCTTCCAGACAGACTTCCAAAGAACTCACCAGAAATTATGAAAAAAGATAATTACAGGCCGGGGAGATGGCTCAGTGGAATATGCGCTTCCCTGGCAAGCGTAAGGGTCTGAGTTCAATCCCCAGTTCCACCAAAAAAAGAAAAAAGAAAAAAAGATAATTACTTAATAGCCTTACCAAAGAACTTTTACCAGCCTCCCATGTTTAGTACTGCCTTATTCATTAACTCAGATATTTCTTTACCAGCCTTTGAAAGCTTTGATTTATAACATTGTGTCCAGTGACCTTTGACATTAGTAACTTTCATGAGGGGCATTGGCACTCTTGGCACATTCTTCTTTTTCATTAAGCTCCTTCCTGCCCACAGTCTGATTCGAGTTAGTCTTGATTTCTTTCAGAACATGGGCCTGTGAACTTGGCTGGTTTTCTTGGCCAAATGGATAGTGGAGCGTGGATGAAGGTATGTGGCGGGAAGATCGCCGTGCCCCCTGTGAGGTGGATGCCAAGCCAAACTTGAAAATCACCCAGGAGGCCCCACACCACGTGGTGCCCCCTACCGCCTGTGATCACGGAGCATCCCAGGGCTTTCAGAATACCCGGCAGTTCTCCCCCAGCTCATGGAGGATGGGGACAGTGTGTTGCTCACCTGGATGTCCATGCAGCCTCTGGGCTGTGCCCCCAATTGTCCCTGCCACTCTGTGCTTCAGGTGGTGCTGGAACAGAGGACATTCAGGTGTTCATGTAGTCAATCTGGCCACCATTTCTAAGCAAAGTCTTGCTGACTCACAGCTGTGTGTTAGTTTGTTGTGTGCTCCTCAGAGTCACACAAAGGAGATGGCATTCTTACTGACATGTGTGGGTTCAGTTGACAGGCGGGTCGAGTCTGAAGAGTCGGGTGACGAGGAGGGGAAGAAGCACACCAGTGGCATCGTGGCAGACCTCAGTGAGCAGAGCCTGAAGGATGGAGTGGAGCGGGGTGAGGAGGACCCAGAAGGTACCCTGCTGTTGAGAGCCTCCACCCCACCCAGAGAGTAGTGTGCCAGGCCGATAGGGTGCTATGTCGGCTCCAGAAAAGGCCCTGCTGCTCCTCAGAAGCCCTCTGTGGGCCAGGAGGGTGTGCTTTCCAGGCACAGCTTCTTCCTAGAGGGCTCCTCCCCACGGATGTGCCTATGGCACTTATCAGTGCAGTTTTGCTCACTTCCACTGAAGGCCAGTAGTGCTGCTGGTGGCTTGGCGTGAGTGTGTCATCTGAGACAGAAGCAGAAAATGAGTCTTCTGATGATCCCTGGTACCACATGCCACACTGGCCCCATCCCAAGACATGCTGAACCAGCGACGTAGTCCAGGCATGGTGGCACATGCCTGTAATCCCAGTGCTGGGAAGCTAAAAACAGGAGACTGACTATGAATCCAAGCTGCGTAGTGAGACCCTGCACAAAGTTTAAAAAAAAAGAAAGAAAGAAAGTAGTCTTCGGCCTGTGTTCAGAAAGAAAGAGTTGAAATGAAATAGGGCGGCTGGTGACCCTGCCTCTGCATGTTGCTGCAGTGAGAGTAATGCTTAGTGCCTTCCAGCAGTCCTTTCAAATCCTGCTCCGCCATTCTGTAGCCTGATTTAAGTATATCTTTTAAGACAGTTTCAACCTCTCCATTGATGACTCATACCTTTTTGTCTGTTTGCTTAGAAAATCACTTTTTAAGACAGGCAGGTACCTGTAAGCCCAGCATTCTCAGAGGCTGAGGCAGAAGGGTTATAAATTCATACCCAGCCACGGGGGGAAATTTACATGAAAAAGAATGAGAGGAATCAAGTGCACACAGAAGGATATCCAAGGATTATTAGAGGGTTTTTTTAACAGCAAATTTCTAAATATATGCAGCTAAAATCTTTAGTTAAAAAAGTAAGAATATGCAGTTTAAATGCACTAAAGAGATTAAAAAAAAAAAGAAGAAGAAGAAAGCTAAGCACGATGATGTGTGTCTTAATTCCAGCTACTCAGGAGGCCAAGGCAGGAGAACCACAACCTGCACAATTTAAGGAGACTGTCTCAAAATTGAAAAGGGGCTGGGAACATAGCTCAAGTAGAGAGTGCTTGCTCGGCAGACTAGCATGCTTAAAGGCTCTGCATTTTCCAGATTTGTACAGTGTATGAATTTTTCAGATATTTGTAATTATGCACTACCCTTATAAAAATAAGTTTCTTAAAAAAAAAAAAAAAAAGAGCTAATTTTTAAAATAGCACTGTGCCTCCTGCGCCAGCAGGGATGATTGGTAACTATGGCAACCAAATTTTAAAGGGAAGGAGGCTCAGAAGCACCCTTCACATTTAGTTTGGAATCTCCGAATTGGTGTTCGAGAAATGCCAGGGGTGGGTGAGGGCATGGGCACTGTTGCTCTCTGGTGCAGTCGGGGGCAGGCTCAGATCTGTCCTGCGAGTCTTTGAGGATCAGGCATGGGGTGCCCTGGGGGCTCAGAGGGGCAGGCTCACTTC